ATATCAGACGCGAATCAGTTAGAAAAGGACATAACCTCAACTGAAAATTACAAAGAAGAAATTTCAATTTGCAAAACACGCGTAAATAGATATTTAAAACAGATAAGTGATAATAAAGTGCAGGATAATTCTACGCATTCTAACTCGACAACAGCGGGTTTGAATTCTGTTCAGGTTAAACTTCCGCGTTTAGTAATCGAAAAATTCGATGGCGAAATACCAAAATGGCCAAATTTTTGGTCACAATTTAGGACTAATATTCATGATAACGAATCGCTAAATGATGTAGAAAAGTTTAATTATTTAAAAACATATTTAACAGGTGATGCCGAAACTTCCATAGGAGGTCTATCAATGACTTCAGAAAATTATAATAAGCCAATCGAGATATCAGAATCGCGCTTTGGTAGAAAAGAACTACGGATAGACAATCGTATGTCTCAATCTGACGCCATATATATATATACTCGAAAAACATAGCGTCAGTAAGAATTTACGACCACGTTAACAACTGATAACACGTTGTTAAATACAAGCGTTAGCGATCCTTGGCATTGAGCCAAATTCTTATGGAGCACTTCTTTTCCCCATTTTAGTTAGAGCATTACCAACTGATACAGCTTTAGAATTTAACCGACTGCATGATGCCCAAGAAAATAAAGTAACAGATTTATTAAACTTTTTAAGGAAAGAAATTGAATCTAGAGAACGTACAGATAATTTGGAAAATAACTACGATAATGCTAAGAAAAGACTTGTTTCGTTGGTTCGAAGATTTTATAAGGATCCATTCTTGTATGCTGACTATAAATCTGTGATAGAAGAATACTGTAAATTGGAAATCGTAGAATCAGTAACTGAACAAAATGATGCAGGTCAGAATCCGATATATTATTTACCACACCACCCTGTAATTCGAAAGAATAAGAATACAACGAATTTGAGGATTGTTTTTGATGCTTCATCGCATCCTCTTCATGCTCCTTCGCTAAACGAATTGTTACATTCTGGACCAAACTTAAACCCAGGTCTCTTAAAACTTATACTTAAATTTCGAATTAACCGAATCGCATTTATTGTTGATATTGAGAAGGCATTTCTGCAGATTAGTTTAGTAGAGACTAATCGTGATGTTGTACGATTTCTGTGGATAGATGATTTGCCAGATAACGTATCTGATAATTAACCAAAAATTCTACTAATGATTAGAGTCCTGTTTGATATTACTTCCAGTCCATTTCTTTTAGCTGCTTGAAGCAGTATTTCACTATGCATCCAGATACTTGTTTGATGTTAAATGAATCTATGCACGTCAACGGTTTGTTATCAGGAGCTCCGAATGAAGAAGAAGCTTTCAGAAGATCTAAAGAAGCAGACTACATAATCAAAGAAGCAGGAATGAAACTTCGGAAACGGAGAAAAAATTCTGTAGAGCTTGAAAACGTGGTCTGATTTTGTATTTGAAACTAGTAAACCAGACGATACATATACTTTTTCAAAGGTATTGGAAATGTTATGGGATACTCAAAAAGGACGTTTTTAAATTTGACGTCAAAAACCTATTAAATTTTGTTTTGAATTCTGATGATACTAAATGTACAATAATAAGAACTGCGGGAAGAATATGTGACCCAGTGGGTTTTTTTCCCCTTTACTGTCAGGCTGAAAATAATTTTCCAATAATTATGGGAACGAGGAATTCATTGGGATGAAGAATTACCTCAAGAATTAAAGGAAACCTGGAAGAACTGGTGCTCTGAAGTAGAACTCCTGAAGGAATTTTCAGTTCCAAGGAAATACTTTCCAACTAATGTGGAGATGATTGCAGATACATTGCAGTTACACATATTTTGCGATGATACCCTAGAGCTTACGGTGCAGTAGCGTATCTCACATTTCAATAAGGAGAGAACATCAGCACTAGTTGTGATGGCTAAAACCAGAGTTTCTCCTCTAAAGAAACTGACACTACCAAGATTAGAATTAATGAGTGCAGTGGTTGCAGCCAGAATTGCCGATTACTTGAAATATGTATTCAAAGTGAGCAATATTTTACTTTTGTCAGACTCTTCCATTACATTGCATTGGATAAAAGGAACGGTGAAGGATTGGAAACCATTTGTATCCAATAGGGTAGCTGAAATAAAGAACTATACCGATCCTCAAAACTGGAATCATTGTAAGGATACGGACAACCCAGCCGATATACTCATGAAAGGAAAAAATGTTTCAAATTTAATGAAAGACGTTAAATGGTGGTAAGGTCCTCCATGGTTACTGTTAGCAGATAGTTCATGGCCTCGAAGCAATTTGAGTGAAGTTAATTCTCAAGACTTGAAAATTGAAACGAAAACTACATTGCAGTTTGCATGTAATGTCACACCGACATCAGAACCATATCTCGATATAGAAAAATATAGCAAATTATCAAGATTATATCGAATTACAGCTTGGATAAAACGCTTTATACATAATACGAGGTGAGAAGTAAGAAGGTCTCCTAGCAGCTTTAGAACTGTCAGAAGCAGAAATATATTGGGTGAAAACTATCCAACCAAAGCATTTTGAAGAAGAAAGGATTGGTTTGAATTATTCATTTATGGCAAAGCACACGAGGGCTATCTGCCTAAAGGGGGATGTCTTCGTGGAGGACTTTCTAAGGGAAACTGGCTCGTATACACGTTACACATGGGGAAAACCACGAAAACGCCCATGCAGCTAGCCCGTTCGCGGGATTCGAACCTCGGACCGAACTACCAGTGTTCAGCGTCTTCACCGCTCGGCCGCTGGTGGCCTGAAGAAGAAAGGAATCAACTGCTTAGTGATCAACCAATAGCAAAGGTACCGAAACTTATTGAGTTCGATCCAGATGAAAACAAACTTATATGCATAAAGGGAAGACTACAATTTTCAAAATTTAAATGAAAGAAAAACACCCATGGTTAATTCTTGGGGGGAACAAGTATGCAGAACTCTTAATTATGGAAGCGCACAATAAGGTACTACATTCAGGAACAGCTGACCCACTGGCTGAACTACGGACCATAATTTTGGATTCTCAGAGGAAGGCAGAACGTTAAATCTGTGCTCAATAAATGTTTAATATGCAGGCGATATAAGGTTTACGCTGCAGTGCAAGTCACAGCTCCGCTTCCAGCAGATCGTGTTCAAAAATCTCCTCCATTCGATGTGATTGGCATTGACTTTGCTGGCCCGTTATTTACAAGGGAAAACAAAGAAAAGCACTATATTTTATTATTGTACGTGGGCAGTTACAAGAGCTATTCATTTAGAACTAGTTCCTAATTTAAGTACAGAAACGTTCTTACTTACATTTCAAAGATTCATTTTACGACGCGGAATATGTTCTACTATCTACTCCGATAATGCGAAAACTTTCAAAAGAGCAAATCTAGAATTGAAGAGAGTATAGAAGAAAATTAACCACCAAGAAGTTAGAGGATTTTTCGGGAAAACTGGAATTCACCGGAAATTTATCATTGAAAAGGGAGCCTGGTGGGGCGGCTTTTATGAACGTATAGTGAGAACAGTAAAAACAAGCCTTAAAAAAAAAAAAAAAAAAAAAAAAAAAAAGGAAATCGTCTCTTTCAACCGAGGAACTGAGAACTAACTGTCTGAACAGAAATAGAAGCCATGTTAAATTCAAGACCGATTGCCTATGTGTACAATAATTCACAAGAGTTATCTTCTTTAAGTCCTTCGCATTTTCTTGTAGGGAAACGTTTGATTTCTTTACCACCGGTAAAAAATGTTGGAAATGTTAATGCAGATTGAAATAATATGATAAAACGATACAACTATCGACAACATTTGTTAGATCATTACTGGAAAACATGGAGAAGTGAATATTGCTAAACTTAAAATGTGCAAACTGTATAACACCAACAAAGGTCAAAGGAGACTTTATGGTGAATGATGTAGTCTTGATCAGAGACAACAAGTTGCCTAGAAATATTTGGAATTTAGGCAAAATTGTGGAAATATATTGCACGCGACGGTAAGATACGATTGTGCAGTGTAAAACTTAAATCTGGTATAGTGAAACTACCAATACAACTTTTGTATCCATTGGAACTTTCAGAATAGACTATATGCTGAGAAAATAAGACAATTTGAACTTTAATATTTCATTTAGAATTCTATATATTATTATAATTATTAGTTATTTTTTTGTTATCTTATAAGGTATTTCTCCCACTTCCCTAGAGTGCCTTCGTGGTGTAACATTTAATTACGCTTGATAAACATGCTAAATTTTTAAAAATCAATCTCAGTTTCAAAAATATAAATATCTAAAAACTCTAATTTGGGAAATGAGGTGCTTTCACCAGCTTTTTCTTGAAAATTATACGCGCTGCAATAGCCAAGTATTTGTTAAGTTTCTGCAAGTCGTCCCTACTCCTCCGGATGTGGTCAAGATGATAGCCGGCAATACGCCAAGGCAAGTGAGAAAACCCATTTGGGTTGGTCTATTTCTTATAAGGTCCATGGATACATATCAAACAATGCTAAATAACACAATAATTAAAAGTATATATGAGATCTTTAAGAATCGAAAAATGAATTTTACTAATAGTGAAAAAATAACTTAAAATACTTAATTTTATTGAACTAAAAAATAACTTAAATTACTTAATTTACTTTAATTTAATTGACCTTACGGAGAAGTTGAGAAATATGTAATTGATAGTAAGTTTGAACAATTATTGGGTACGTGCACTGTAAAAAAAAAGGTCGCTCTTTACAGGCAAATGTTTTGTAAAGTTACAGAAATTAAAATGTTACATGAGAATTTCCTGTAACGTAAACAGTCTGAAATGAATTAGTGCCGTATGCAGACGATTTAAGAGTACACTTACAAGCAAAGACTAAGGTTTCAGTTTCGCGCGCATGAATCAGTCAGGTGACCGATTGGAAAGTGGGGGGGGGGGATATCTCACCCAATCAGAAGACAATGATAATTGTTTTAAAGATAGTAACAGATATACATGGTTGCCTGCGTGTTTATAACGTTCCTGAGCGGTAAGTAAAACTTTCATAGTTACTGTTTGAAATATTTTTATTTATTTTATGTATTATTCTTATGCACTTTACACTGTTATATATATTGATAAGTATTTTAACGTTTAGCCCCAGCTACTATTAAATATTAATGTCCGTAATATGTATTCTATTCTCTATACTCAACCAAAGAATATGTATTCTATAGATATTCTGGATATGTTTTCTTGGTCTAACGCAGAGTGATTTGTATTAGAACGATTATCTAGCAAATACAAGCACTATCTGCATTTAATATAGTGTAAAATATTTATTCTAAATCTAGATCTAATAATAATAATTGTGATTATGAATTCAATAAATTAAGCTTTTAATTGACCATTTTATTTATAACCAGTATTTTTTATATAACCAGCAGTAATTAATTGAAACAGTGATATCGTATTAATTTCGTTTGACAATTTTATGATTCTAAATGAAAAATTACATTTGATTAAATCGCATGATATGATATTGTATGATAATTTTTGTAATGTTTTGTTTTACTAACTAGGTGCAACTTCGTTATTCCATATATTTTAGTATATTAATATCGACAGGGAAAAGTGAAAACAACCTAAAATATTTTTTTTAGCAATATGTTAAACTAATTGTAAACAAAAACAACATATTGCACTCTATTCGCAAAAATATCATGTAATTAATATTTTCTAAATTAAAAGTTTTATTATACTCTGTAACTGCCATTGCATATTTATAATGTGTTTAACATATATAAACATGTAATATGATATGTAAATCATAAAATAAGTTCTTTTAAAAACAAATGGTGACTATATGTGGAATTTAAAACCATTCTGTATGTGTATGTCTGTATTAAAAATTAATTGATAATAATATTTTTAATAAAATATTAATTTTAGAATTAACAATATAAATATACATAAATACAATCTCAATACAAGCCACTTTTCTTTACAAATCCCTTCATAATTACATATGTCTTTTTAGGAAAATAGATTTACATGCTTTGCCATGTTCCATCAAACCAAACGATACAAATATGCAGCAAATTTTGCTTTAAGTTAATGCAGGAAATAAAATTCTGTGCATTTGTAAGCTACATTAGTTCACTTATAGCTTGGAATTTAGTTATCCAATCATTTGCTAGTCAAAATTAATATAGAATGCAAATATCTTTTAAATAAAATAAAATTAGGAGGGTCTGATTTTTAGACATATACATGAAGATTGATTTTTTAAAATTATTTTAGATTATCCAAATTGATTTCACATTTAAGTACGTATTTGTGACTTTCAATAGCATCTTTGTCAGAAGTCTTAATTTCAGTTGTAGAGTCATTAGGCTATTTTGAAGCAGGTGACATGAAAAATGACCAATGCCCTCGTCGGGACTTAAACCTAGACTTCTCGAATACGCGCCGAGTGTGCTATCGTTTCACCACAAAGGCATGATGGAAGGAGGGAGAAAATACGTTATAGTATAATAACTGAAGGTAATTTTTCTTGTTAGCGAAATGAAAAAGCATGAAAGACCTGAAGTGTATTATAATTTAAGCAAGTTGCAGGTTCAGAATGTCCGGTGGTTCAGAACGTCCGGAATGTTCCAATGGACCCTTTTTTTAAATATTTATTAAAAAAATATTTAAGCATAAAATTTTCAAGCTTTGCAGATGTGGAATATCGCGCTTGATTTATTAATTAATTTCATAGTATTTTGCATGACACTAGTCATAATTATTAGTTAAATTTTATGTAGTTTCTGATCTGTGTTTTTAATATTAATTTTATATATTAAATTCAGATGTTCTGTTTGGTAAAGTAGAAATTCTGCAAAATTTCAAAAAGTACCAAAAATGTACTGTGAAATTTTTTTTAAAGCCAAAGACAAATTTCTGTGAAAAATTCTAAATCTAAATGCAAAACGGAAGAATAAATTTGACAATTATCAGATAAATAAAAAATGTTGGTAATTTTTGCAAGTTTGTAGAAGAATTTTTATATTTTTCTGAATTAAATATACTATTTTTTTATTAATATTAATTACTACTAAATTACTGCAACTTAAATAGATAATTTGGCTTAAAATTTATTTGAACTTAATTTTCTAATTTATTTTAATCGAATATATTTCATACACCTCAAGTCTAAAAATAAACTTAATTCTCATCCTATTTATCGATACAATGTTTTTAAAGAAAAATGCCATTTGTTTTCCTTAGGTGTTTTTCATGAAGATATATGTCTATATATATGGAGAGGTAGAGGTATCACCATGTTTATTCACAGATTTCCCCCCTTTTTTATTAATTTTATAGTAGGAAAATCGAGAGGAGAAAACTATTCCATTCATTTAATTTTGAAGGATGTGATTACAGTGAGAATATACCAATTGAAACGTATTCAAGGATAAAATATTGGTAACTAATTATTTATTTAAAAGAAACCTACTTTACAATAAGAATGCATTGTAATATTAATATTTCAGTATCTAATAAGATAATTTCATTCCTGCTTCTATTGCTATTAAGTCATCACCATTCAGTCTGTTTTACCCCATGCAATGATTTTCCAAACTTTTAAAATGTATTCGTCTACATAGTGATTGTTTTTGTCATGTTAAAAAAGACAAACTTTTGCTTACTACCTGCAAAGGCCATGCTGAAGCTTTCCTATCTAAGTGTTGGACTTTATGCCAGCCTAATACAAGAAATGACCCATTAAAGTGAAGCAAACATCAATCGATAGTCACTCTCCAATTTTGCCACGTCAGCTGTATTGTCAAATTCTCTAATTATTTGTTAGAGTTGAGGCTTAAGTAGTAGCAAAGATGATTGCAAAAATGGGAGAATTCGAGTTATAGAGAAGTAGAAATGAGATAATTTATTAAATGTCGTAATTACGTGGATTCTTATCGAAATGTAGTTTTATTTTAAAGAAATAAAATTATGATAGTTACTAGTAGTTTACCCATGATTATTTTGCATTTATGTTCTTACTTCACCGTGTCTTTTGGAAGTTAAAATTGTCTCATTTTCCCCTCTCCATTTCAAATGATAAAATTAGTTTAAAAAAAATAGGGAATACGGCATGAAGAATATTAGATACCCCCATTTTCTTGAAGCTGTTCACTGTTATTGTTTTATTAATCACGACCCATGCACCCAAAATCTAAGGCAAATTAGTTATTAAGACGGAAACGACAACTACATGAATGAATGTTTTAAAATTTAGGGAAACTCACTGTATGGGCGGCTGAAGGAAGGCGAAAAAATTACGTAAATAATTTTCAAAATTTCAGAAGCCTGTGCTAAAAGAAAGCTAGGAAGAACTAAGTGAGCTAATACGTTACTTAGGGACTGAGATTCAGTGATTCATTTGGCAGAAATCTCTAATATTGTTTTAGAAATCTAAAGGTAATTGACAATTTAAAATTTTTTGTGCTGGAATTTTTTTTTTAAATAAGTATACTATACATATTACGTTTACCATCTGTAACAGCTTCCTTTATGAAAGAATTTGCCTATTTGCTATTTTTTTATAATGAACCTTCTCTAAGCTACAAGATTCCTGAAAATTTCAATAAAAGTGGGCATGCTAGAAAAAAAGTTATGTCTACTAAGTTATGCTTAATTATTATGTGCGAAATACTATAATCATTTTTAAGAAGTTATTGAGGCAGCTAGATGCAATGAGACAGTTCACTGTAATTCAATTGTTTTAATAATATTAATTAGTTAAGATAAGTTATTATAAAGACATGCAAAAATTTTTTATATTGCAGATGTTTAAAACATCTACTAAAATAGTTTTTATAAACATTTTAAAAGCATGATTTATTTATTTATTTGTTTCTTTTTTTTTTCAGGAGACATGCTTTATATGCACAAAGAGAGAAGAACCGTTCTTTCATTTTTCGATCTACTCAAGAGACAAGATTATTTTTAAATTAGTTTTTTTTTTCTTTCAGATTTTAAAGTTTATGAATTAAATTATATGTTATTTTGAATTAAATAATAAATTTATTATGAATTTAATAAATCATTTATTATTAAATTAATTTATTACTATTATAAAAATAATAAATTATTTTTGTATCTTTATTATTAGCTTCACAATATTACTAGTAAAATGTGCGTGTGTGTGATTATGGCAAAGCCTCGAGGGCTATCTGCCTAAGGGGGATTGATGCCTTCGTGGAGGACTTTCTAAGGGAAACTGGCTTACACATGGGGAAAACTACGAAAACGCCCATGCAGCCAGCCCGTTTGCGGGATTCGAACCTCCGACCGAACTACCGGTGTTCAGTGACTTTACCGCTCGGCCGCTGGTGGGCCCCTACTAGTAAAATGCTTTTGCAATAAAGTTATAAATTGAATAAACTTCTCAATTAACATGCTACTGAATAAATATGGCCTAAAGTTCGTTTTCTGTTGTCACATGTATATTTCACAATTTTGTATGCAAATCTCCAAATTTATAATAATTGTGAATAATTTTTTAATATCACTTTCTAAATGATATTATTTTTGAATTAAAATGAATCTTTAAATAATTTGACCGTAAAAAACAGTGTCACATTTATGCTTTACATTAAATCATACTTATTTGTAATTATGCTAAGATTTTATAATAATATAAAAAAATTTGAATATTATTAGAAAATAACTCTAAATTAAATTAAAAATAAATTATTGTCTTGTCTTAACATTTAAAAATATTTATATGTTTTTATAAAACAAGATCAAAAGCAGGTAATGAACAAGATGGAAAGGCAAAGTTTTAACACTTTTGAAACTATATAGCATTGATTATGCAGTAGGTTGTAGGTGTTGAAAACTATGAATTTACGAATTTATATAAAAATTTTGTGATGCTTATTGTGTGCTTTAAATTTTGGTTAACATGGAATTTTGTAATGCAAGAAATGAGACGTTGTAGCAGTTTAAAGTTTGAAAGATGATAATGTCTTTTTTTAACATAGAAAGAATATGAGGCAACTTTTAAAAAAAGATGATTATGAAAAATTAAAAATCAATTCTTGTGTAGCATGAAATATAAAAATAGTATTTCTTTTTTAAAGTGGCTTTTACATTCAGTGGTCAGAATTGGCAAACTTAACCTCACAATCTTTAATCTGCAATTTCAGATGCAAAGGATTTAAATTTAGTTGCTCTATAGCAAACATGTATAACATGTATCTGCATATGAGTTGGAAAACGAAAAGGTTTTTAATCTATGAAAACTGAATTTTTTAAATTTTATTTTACAAGTTTTTAACCTGTTAATAAAGAAGATTATTACCAGTAATGGAAAAAAGCCATCATTATAGACAAAACATCTATTATCTTTACAGATATATCCTTTAGTATTTGAGTTGTAACAAATATATTCAACATATGTAATTACATAATGTGTTATAAGAAGCAATAAATTTCTAACTTATACAGATACATAGTTTAGGATATTACATACGAAAAGTACGTTGTACTGACATAATTACTTCGTGAAATAATACAAAAAAATAACCTGGAATGGTTACATATTTACATGAGAAAAACACGTTCTTTTCACATAATTACTTGCTGTAATATTACCCGCAAATAATCTGTAACCATTACAGATATATCGTTTGGGATTTTACATGAGAAAACATGTTTTTTTTTACATAATTACTTGCTGTAATATTACACGCAAATCATCTGTAATCATTACAGATATAGCGTTTGGGATTTTACACGAGAAAAATATGTTCTACTTACATAATTATTTGCTGTAACATGACAAGGAACAGATCTGTAACCATTACAGGCATTATCCTTGTAAAGTTGCAACGAATGCACCTGTTACTGTTACTCAAATAACCCATGGCATCCCAGTTTCCATGAGTTTTTTAGTAACGTTACAGAATTTTTTTTACAGTGTGCCAGCTAAACGTTACTGTCGGCTTTGTGTCCTATCGAATAAATGTGTTGATAGTTAAGTGTCCCGTAATTAAATGTCTGGACGGCTAACCCTCTGTGTCAGCAAAATGTCCTGTCGGCTAACTGTCCGTGTCGGCTTAGTGTCCTTTGCGGCTAAGTGTCTTGTCGGCTAACTGTCCGTGTCGGCTAAATGACCTGTCGGTTAAGTGTCCGTGTCGGCTAAATGTCCGTGTCGGTTAAATGTCCTGTCGGCTAAGTGTCCCTGTCGGCTAAATGTCTTGTCGGTTAACTGGTGTCGGTTAAGTGTCCTGTCGGCTAAGTGGTTGTCGGCTAAGTGTCCGCGACCGCTGAGTTATGTCAGGTCTCAAAATATTCTCGTTTGTTTCCAGTGTCTATGACCACGCGTTTTTACTTAATCCTTCACGAATAGGACACTATCTTCGTAAATGTCTTTCATTGCCGCTCTTCTAGTAATTTAATTTCTTACCACGACTTTTTAAAGTCTTGTCTACATTTGCTCTTCAGTCTGTTAGAAAGATCACTCTCAGCATTTTGACTTCTGCGCGGTAACATCCCCTGCAGAACGAAGGTTTTTTTTTTTTTTTTCTGCTGGCTTTTTGCGTAGCCTCCACATTCATGGCATAACACGAGAGCACTTTTCAAACCTTCCTTATCCGCTGTTTGGAGTCTGTGTTATATTTCAGGATTCCTAATAGCATCCGCAAAATATTAGAGACTCCGTGTCTTTAATTTCACGATGGTAATCTGGAAATGTTACTTAAGTTAATTTTTCGATGGCATTAGCCAATTCTTGAAGAATCTGAATGTTTTGCTGCTTCGTAAACAGGTAGTGAGATTTAACGCTTTGTTGATGAACTCTCATTGATTTGCCTGCGAAATTATTTCAAATCTATTTTGTGCTCTTTACATGATGACTTTCAGTCATATGAAAAAAAGCTTAATTGCGGGAAGACATAACTAAACCGGAATGTAATTCAAAGCAGCAATGAGCCTAAATACTCAAACCAGGCTGAGTTGGGAATTTTTTTACAGATCAAGCAGATTTGTGTTCTGGTCTTAGAATTTCTGTTTAGAGTCTCTCGTTCAATGCAAGAGTTTCTTGACTAACATTCTTTATTTCTCTCTTTAATTTTTTCTTCTATAGAGGCTACTTTTCCGGTTCATACCGCTAACAGTTTTCCTTTCGATGGCAACAATACTCTCCTTCGTTTCTATTGGTTCATTCCTCATCTGAACAATATTTGAGTTCTCATTTCCGCAGCATTTTCTTCTATCGAGGTCTTCATTCACATCTTCACTTCAGCGGCTTTCGCTTCTGTCGAGGTTTTTATTTCCGTCTTTATTTCAACGCATTCGCTGCGATTCTGATCTTCATTTCAATAGAACGTGTAGTAATCTTTTCTGTAATAGCTTTCAGCTATGCTTCCAACTTCCTGATTATTGGCATTTAAAGAAATCCAGAATTATGACGCCAGTTGTGGCTGCCGATTGTTGTGATCACTCCAGATAAGGAGGAAGAAAGTAGCAACTTACAAAAATTCACAACAAACAGTGCAATAAAGAGGTAGAAGTAGTTCAAGGAGAACATGAATATTAAGAAATTCCACCTTAGCGCACAAGAAATATCTGCAGTTTTCAAAATTATTTGTAGGGTTGGATTTAATTAGGTTTATTTGATTACGGAAGAGAACGTAAGGGCTATCTGCTAAGGATAGGGTTGCTTTCTTGGAAGACTTTCTAAGGAAAACTGCATGGTAGCTACGTTACGTATGGGGAAAATCACGAAAACATCCGTGCAACCAGGCCGTTAGCGTGAATTCAAGCCCAGGTCGAACTACTAGAGTTTAGCGACTTTACTGCTCGGAAGCTAATGAGCCATTCGCAGGGTAATTCACGGTAATAACTAGTGTGACTAGTTTATTTCACGAGTTGATGATTTATTTTGTTAACTTTACTGCTTATTATGGCGCAAAGTTTGAGTTACGTTGTAAAATAAAACAATAAATAATTGATCAACCTTCGTTTATTCTTTATTCTCATGCCAAGTCTCAAAGCGTATATAGAACATTAAAATTAGATTTATTCTCTAAATTTTAATTTTCCCATTTTCATGCCATGCAGTTCATACTGCAACGTATTTCACTTATTCGATTTTACAATCGGGGGATTACTAGTACTATAAGAATAAGGAAAGATGGCGCTAAACTTACGTTCAGTTCTGTTTTAATAGAAATAAAGACTTAATAATAAAGGAAAATTGTTAGAGAAAAGGAATTCTGAGCATTTTGTATCCTATTATGAGAAAGTTTTGCCGAATAGGTGTTTCAGTTGTTTTTTTTATGTATGAAATAGATATGAGTCGGTTCTCTTTAAAAGGGCGACACTTCTTTTAAGCAGCTAATTCGATAATGTTTTTACGCAACTAATTAGTGAATTAATCAAATTCTACCTAGAATCCATGGATGTAGTTCGAAAACCTTTATTAAACACCATAAAGCAGAAAAAGATGAGATCAGAAATACTACGATATTTTATTAATTTACGAAGTTTCAGTGTATCACCAAAAATTAATTTAATTAAAATTTCATTAAGCTTATGTTAGTAATTTTTGGGATTTAGTAATCTAATTTTTGGACACGAAAACCAAGAAGTTGATGCAGTTGATTTAGGGTAAAAATGTAAGAATATTTGTTATTTGCATAATTCCATTCCATTCCATTAATGATTTGATTGATTTATGCAAGTATACAAATGCTATGTGAAATTAAGAGAAAATGCTTAAATTTTCCTTATGAGAGACTAGTAGCATATAAAAAGTTGGACAGTGACATACTTTTTAAAGCAGTAGTCAATTTTCAGTCAGAGTAATGCTTTATTGCCATAAGTAATAAACCTTAACATATCAGAGAAAAGCAATTAAAAATTGACAGTAACATACTAAACGCTATTTAAATGAACATTTTAAGACCAATTTCAAAAAACTTAAAAAAAAAAAAAAAAAAAAAAAAAAAAAAAAAAATCTGAAAGCTTTTAGATTTTATAGTATGTCCAAAAGGAAGTTTATTTAA